GGAATCCTTCTATTTGAACAGTTTCCTTATGTACTGACTATTTGAGGAGGTCTTTTTTGTTGTTTGTATGGTTAGAATTTCGTCATAACTGACGATAGCACCACTGTTGAGCTCATAAACGGGGAGGAGAAACTTTCGATGCCAGATTGAACTCATGTTCTATTTTAGAAAATCGCTAAATTTAGAGACTAACCACTGCCAAAAGTTTGTTCCAAACTTACCGAAAGACACACCTTTCGAAAAATGACTCTTCACATCTGCTATTTTTATCATAATCCCAATTTCTCTCCTTATTTTTGTTCCCTTCCTGCCTCTCTGGCAGACATACAGTAGTTGTTCTTTTTTTTTTTTTTTGTCTTAAATGCATTGGGTGGATAATATTTGAGAGTAGCCTCTCTCATACTAATAGAAGGGCAGGCTTTAGCCCACAGCTCTGACGTGGGTGAAAGTAAGGAACCAGTAAAAGGCCCCTAATACTTACACACCCTTCGTATGGCACTGCACTGCTGTAATGGTGGCATTTGAAAAACCCTTTAGACTTAGCCAGGCAAGTATAACAGGATCTGAGTTGCCACTCTTGTGAGTAAACCCAGCTGTGACAGTGCATAAAGCTGCAAAAAGTCAGCTTCTGTTGATCGAGAACGATTACAACATTACGTAAAGTCTGGCACAGTATAAGAAGAGTATTGAAGCCTCATGTGTTTTTTTCCCAGATGATGTGATCCATCCGTCTCTCATCTGTTTTTTCTCTCACCAATTTGTCATGGACAGCGCTGCACACTGCTGTTCAGTGGTCAGTGTTTTGGAAACGGCTCCTGCAGACTTGAAATCCTTTTTTTTTATTTGTACCTCATATTATCCAATTTCACCCAGGGATCAATAAAGTTTTTCTGACTTTGACTGTTGCAGACTTTAACTCTGTTTCACCTGAAGTAACCCAGCTCAGTGAAGTGATGATTTAAAAGTTATGGTAATGGAATATACCTGGAAAACTGGATATAAAGAGCTTGTCTTCTTTTACTCGTTTCTCAGAGTATCATAATCCTTGAGCGTAATAGTTGTAAAGGTTTTAGTGGAAGCCGTTCATATTGCATTGAGTTTGTAGAGAAAGTAAAGAAATCCCAGCGGAAGACTACCTAGTATGAAATACTGCCCAATTTAGCTATTTAGAGTAATTTGACACAACTTAAACTGAACAATTTTACATTTGTTTTATCACTTTTTAATCAAAACAACATCCGTATTAGCTAAGTTACAATAGCAAAGTCTATAGGCTTTCGTAATTGTGAGCCCATCGCAAATATACGATCTAAAAATAAACTAAACCTACAGTCTTCAATCACTGATGCCTACTTCGTAACTTTGTTACTTTATGTATCTTTAATAATAAGATATTTCTAGCTTGTATGTACTACTGCCAGCAAGTGTAGTGACGTATTCTGGTGTCATTGGAGACTTCTGCACTTTTTGACATGAACACCCATCATTCCTCTGCTATAGTGGGTCTTCCCTTCTTTCCAAACCACTCCTTCGGCTTCACAAGAGGCTCAGTAGTCCCATCTTGGAGGGCAGGCGTCCTGCAATTTTCAGGTGCATCTCTGATTTAACACCACTTGACACCATTGTGAGTACTGCATACCTTGACTGCATGGTAGTGAAGTAGTTCAGCCATTTATTCAGATGTATAGGGCAAGGGACACATCTTAGAAGTTTCAGGACAGAGGCCCTTGAGGATTTGCGTTAAAGACCTCTGCCCTAAATTAATCACAGCTTAACCATTTATCTCAGCAGGATACAAATGTCACATTTTCCTTGTCTAGAAGAAATTAAAAGCAAATGCACTTAAGTGGATAACATTTTATGTGTAAAACTAAAATAATGAACTTGTCTTGGTTCAGTCTTGTGTCCCAAGTCTGCATAAAAACAGAGAGCTGAAATTGAAATATGCTTATTGGTTGTTCTGTATATAACATAATTTTTCTGCCCCGCAGCCTGTTTAACAATTACTTGCAAATTGAAATAAATGCAAATTAAGTGACAGTGTCAGTAGGTTATTTTCTAAGGATAACTTTTTTTTTATGTGTTCCCTGCTAAGGAAAGTGTCCTTGATAGATCCAAAGATTACTCCACACTTGATCCTGAAAGTGGATTCACAAGTTACATCTAATCTAAGCTGAAACAACTGTAAGAAAACATAAAACCCCATAGGTTTTAGGCATTTTTACTTTTTATTGTTTTAAACAACTGCAATCAGAAAAACAGAAGGCACTTTTTTATTAACTGTACCTTTTGCTGCTCTTAGGATATCATTATCTTTATTCTACAGTGGAGTCTTTACCTTTAATAACCTTTTGGAACTTTACTTCAAAAAGGCAAAGCTATCCTTTCAAAGGTGATCTGTACCCCCCTTAATGGCTCAATGCTAATGGGCAAATTTCTCGTAACAAAGTGAATGTATGCCAGAAACATATACTGTTATTACCATTCGGGCCTGTAAAACTTTTTTTTTTTTTCCTCTGTTGGCACAACTGGTAGCCAAATGTTCTTGCCTATTTCCCTTAACACAAGGAGCTGGATTTGGATTTATTGGTTTATGTTTGCTGTGGTACACTTTAAAGATTGTTGTAATTCTCAAAATGGGATCTTTACACAAATCATGCCATTACTCTACCGTCCAAGGCTTCAGTCATCCACACTGTTAGCTGAGTACTATAGGCTGCAATGACTGTGTTTGCTCAGCTACTCTCCCACCACCCATCATGCCCCCTCCCTCTGTCCTTCCCTGGCAGTCCCTTTCCCTTACTCTCACCAAACAGTGGGAGCTTGTCACTGTGTCACCAACAGGGCGATGCCCCTCTCTAAGCCCCTTGGGGCCCATTTGCCTCTGTAGCACTCCATGTTTGCCCAATCATTGGAGATCCGGATGCAGGGATGAATTGTTAACTACTGCAGGTCAGTCTTTGCCTCCATCCCTACATATCCCACTACACACTTTTTTTTTCTCTTTTGCTTTCTCTCAAACTGCTGTTTACTCATCTCCATAGAAACCAAGTCGTTTTCTTTTCCCCTTCATGTGATCGCGACCAGCTATTCCACCACAACTTCCTCTTCTCTTCAACCTCTCTGTTGGAGTGCCCAATCAAATGACAGCAAAGGATAATTACATAAATCTGAAGGATTGATGATGCAATTGCTTCTGAGTACAGAGGAGTAAAGAAGTTTTTATGTATTTCAAGTTCTGAAAACACTAGATCTTTTGCAGTTTTACCCATGCACATGGTATTTAATGTTTACTCTAATTTGCTAGAAACTGCATTGCTCTACTATGAAAAGACTACATTTTTAATGTATGTAATTATGATTGCATACATAGTCAACCTTTTGACTAGCCTTAAAGTATGCATACGTTAATGTATGTGTCTTATTTGCTCAGGGCAGGTGAGTGTTTGTCTACCTGTCTCCATTTATGAGATCAATGTTTGCTGAAGGAATGCACCACGTCCGATTTGTCATTGACTGTTATTGTTCGGCTCATCCGACTGGTGCCTCGAGGTTCAGTTGTGTTGTGCCCCAGCAAGCGGGAAATATTTGCTTTTCTTGGTTTTTCCTCTTTGGCTTAGCATATTTGCACATGCTCTTGACAGGAAAGGTGACTTATAGAGAGGTATGTTTCAATAACTGGCTGTGAACTAGAGGAAGATATGTATCTAGTCAGGAAATATTTGGTCACTTCAGTGCCATCATTTTAAAAAATGTTTCCCGTTTCCTTCCACTTCCATAGAAACCTTCCTTTTAGACCTTTAGAAAAAAAACTCATAGTAATAACTCATGTATAAAGATTAACAGATAAAACATTTGGTAGACATTTCTGATCTCCATTTTTTTTTTAACTGTGACCCGTACATACAAATTTAACCAACAACATCGCTATATTAATCTTGCACTGCAAGTTGAATTGCCACTCCTGCAACCTAAACCACTATAACCCCAAATCTATTCAGGTAAAAACTGATACTCCCTCTGAAAAATGTATTTTCTATCAGGAAAAAAAACTTTTGGTAGAATGGGAAAAAAAAAAGTTAATCAAATAAATCTGCTGAGAGTAGTAGAAACTGGTCTCTGGGAAAAGCAGGGTTAACATCACACAATTTTTGAAGGACAGTACCCATAAAACAGGATTTCACAGACAAGACATCTAGAATTTAAACATTGTTTAAGCAGAAATAACTTTATAAAAAAGTAGATTCTGCAGGAGCAGATAAAGTCAGTTGAGTAAACTTTACTTGTTGGGTATGAGGAAACATTAGGCAATGTATCCTATTCACAACTCTAACTCAGTTGCTCGTGTTGTTAATACTTGGCATTAGTGGCTTCATAGAATAGGTCTACAGGGTTTCTTTGTTTTTGCATCCTGCAGATGTTTTTAGTGTATATGCAGTTTTATGATCATTGAAGATAAGAGAAGTGTGTGGGTTTTTGTGTGCTTCCCTGTTTTTTGGTGTGTGTTTGTCGTCCTATGCCACCATGTGGGTGGTCCTCACGGCTGGTTTGATCATAATCACCCAGACCCATAAATCAGTGTCCGGACTCTGGCCAGGAGCTGATTCTGTGTGCCTCACTGGAGCGAGGGGCTTGAGGTATTAAGCTAAGACCCCCAGCTCCTGCCCTGCCCCAGCCTGGCCACACGTCAGCTCTCCACACCACCTTTAAAATAACTTGTCATGCATGACAGCCTTTGGGAAAGGGCCTCATTCAAGTTTATACCAGCCACAACACACATGGAGGAATCCCTTTCAAATACTCTGTTTACGGTTCAATTTTATTCTAGTATTGTATAACTTTTCCTCTTTATTTCACACAAATAAGTTTTCTTATGATAATATATGTTTGTTCACCTTGTTTGTGAACCTAATGTGGTTTTGATATCCTTCTGTAATGGTAGACTCAGAACAAATTTTTCCACCTGATCTGAAGATTAAAGTCAAATTTTGTCTTTGTAGGTCCTCTGGCTCTCTCTGAGCTTAAAGAGCAAGGATGAAGGCCCTGTCAGAGCTGTCTGGCTTGCATACATCACTCTCCGCTGGGCTTTTATCTAGCCAGACTGGACTGCGCTCCATCCAGACCCGGCTGCCGGCAAGTGCACAGTCCTGAGACCTGTGGCATTAATAAAGATAATGCTGTTTGGAATAATAACAGCCAATTCAACTCAATAGAGGAAAGAGAATGGACATACAAGTGTCATGGAAAACAAAAGAAGCCAAGATGAAAGGCTGAAAGGTAAGACTGTGCACCTATTCCACTCTCAGGTGGGAATATATATCAACATGTACACATGCGAGTAGTACTGAGTGGATTCCTATGCCAATTTTGAGCCTCAGAATCATGACGCAGACATGCAATTTGTTCTTTTGTCTGCTGAGATCACAGAGGGAGGCTAGTGACTTGTCTTTCCTTTTATTTTTCTCATTTCCCCCCTTCTGCCCTTTCTCTATTTTCGCAATTGTGAATGTAATTTAGTTTGATGAGCAGGTGGTCTTTTTATATATATCTGACAGTGCTTCTGGTTCCCACCTCTGGCGTGTGGGGCTTTCATTTGGAGTCAGTCATGTAGGCCCGGATTAGAGGGGTAAAAGAGGAGGAGGAGGTACAGTTGGAGTCTAGGTAGTGGCAACCTCAACGCCCTGCAGTCAGAACCATGCAGAGTTCTGCTTGAAAGAGTTATTTTGTTGCTTAAGCTCTCAGACGCACCCCAGATGGCTTTTGTGCCAGCCAGGGAATTGCTTTGGGACAGAAGAGTAATTCAGACTTTGTGAGTCGCTGAGCACAGCAGGTAAAGGTTTGTGGTGATGCAGACAGAGAAAGCAAGATGTAATAATTTCCTTACCTTGAATCAAGGTCATTAAATAGCAAACAGCACAAATTACAATTGTGCTCTACATGCACTTACTGTTTTTTAAATATTAGATCTTCTGAGGATTCAGCCAGTTAGTCAAAATACTTCCTTTGATGTCATATACAACAGATCTAATGAGTCTACATTACCGGTGGAAGCAGTTTTACAATATATATAAAACAATACAACCTGCTTTCGCTTCTATACCTTTGATCTGCAGTTTTATAGCACAGAGCATTTAAGCAACCCTGTTACTCCTTGAGGGAATTTATGGTTGATCACGTTAATTATCAAGGATTCTTTTGCAATAACTCCATGGTGACACATAGGTAAGCAATCAATACAATGTGAATAAACACAACAGGTTTGCTGTTTTATGTTGGCATTCAGAAATAAGAGTCTTAAAAAACAGATTGGTTCCTGTGTCGGGTTGGATTGTAAAGAAATTGTTAGAAATGCTGCCTCACAGAAGGAGGGTCCTTTCCTCTAGACCAGGGGTGCTCAAGTCCAGTCCTCAAGAGCTACCATCCTCAAACTTTTAGATGCATCTCTTCTCTAACACACCTGAATCGAAAGGCTCAATCCACTCATTTAGCCCAGCAGTTGCATCGTAACAAGCCATTCATTTGATTCAGGCGTGTTAAAAAGGGGGTGCATCAAAACGTTGCAGGTTAGTAGCTCTTGAGGACTGGACTTGAGCACCCCTGCTCTAGACACTTAGGAGTGGGTGTTGCTTATATCACAAATTATTTAATAGGTTCTCCTAGGGTTCTGTGGCATTCTCATACTTTTCTAAAAATGCATTTTTAGGTTAAATGGCTGCTAAATTACCCCTACGTTTGAATGCAAGCATAATTTTTTGTCTTCTGTAATAATCTGTTGACCTGTCCAGGGTGCACCTTGCATTGGGTGTTTTAGCATCACTGCACAGCTCTGCACCGATTATACAAGACAAAAGAATAGATTTATGGATCTTGATATCTGTGGTGAAATTTTTCCATAAAGTTTTATCTGTTTATTTGTCAACATAAAACAAACTTTTATTCTTTTTGTAAATTTATTTTAAAAAACACTAAACTTAGATATGCAACATTCTGACTGTTTCTGCTTGATACAGATCTATGTTATATTTTTTAGATCTTACTTACCCATTTTTGCTTGATTTAAACTCTGTAACAATTACGTTTTGTAATTTTATTTTGAAAACAACAACTTTATTTTTTTCATTAAGCAAGAACAATATTATGAGTATAAACCATAAAAGCAAGAGGATGCTACAGATTTTTATTTATTTAAGGAAGTACTTTTGATGTAAAATTAAAGAATTTGAAGTTTAAGCCCATTTATGAATCAAAGCGTATCTGTAACCCTCAAGCATATTGAATCCAAGAGGGCTCAATAAAGGCTTAAGATTATTTTTCATTCCTTTAGTACTCAGAAAATTTTTGTAATTGTTTTACCTCCTTATCATTACAGATCTTGACAGATTAACTGATGCACTACTATTGAAATCAGACATGTATTTACAGCGAATTAGAAAAAAGTGTTTGTAAATTGGGAACACTCCTTTTTGGAATAAACAGATTTAACTCTGTCCACTTCCTTTGTTTGTTTATTTGCTCAGTTTTGCTTGTTGTAAAGCTAAATTAATCAGCCTAAGTGTTGGCTGAAAAATTATAGTACTTTCGTCACAAAAACATGTTGAACATTAAGTCAAATCATCAGAAAATAGTAAAAAGCCTAATAGAAAGCTGTGTCACTGTGAAAAATATGGTGGTAAGAACATAGCCAGAATATCAGGCTGTGGTCTTTGAGGTCTGATCTATCAACTCAACTTGGAGGAGCGATTTGGTTCGGCTGCTCTGTTAGCCATTTTCTGTTTGTCCCTCAAGCGTTTATCACAGAGGTTTCACAAATGGCCACTACGTGCACTGATAAACAGCAGGGATTGGATCCAGATCTTGCTGGGTTCTAGCTGAAGCCCTGGGGCTTGAAACCACACAGGCTGAGAATGTTAGTCATTTGTTTATTATTACTGATATTCGCCTGGTCCTAATCCTTGCAGGATTAGCTGGATTACATGTTTTTCTCCCATTTTACCTTTTTCCACAATTGCAGACTTTTTATTTTACTTGGGAATATTGGGGAGCCTTCTTAATCAACACATTTTAGAAATGTGCTGAGGCGTAGATCTAAATATGTGCTGTGATGCATGTGTTCTTGTTTATGTCATTTTTTTACTGTAAGTTTTTTGTTTTCAGGGTACTTTGATAGATACACCCTGTAATGACATCCTATTTAAAGCTTTGACCAGGTTCAAGAAAACTCAGCCACACTGACTTATACATTTTATGTTAGGTCATTTTGTAGTGTGGTTTTCCTGAGGCTATAGGAGTGTTTAGATCTGACAAATCAGTGCTTAAGAAGTGTGTTTTTTAGGGTTTTTGGTCGGAAATACTCCAAGAGCCCCGTAGGAACCAATTAATCAAAGAGACCAAATGTCAGTATGGCGTCACTGGATTTGGAAACTTATGATGTCATGAAGGAGGGATGATTAGTCTGAGTGGTACCAGCGTGGAGAGCAGCTACTGGCTTTGAGTCACCTGGATTGAAGACGGAACTGCATTTGCTTAGCTGCATGAACTCGTTTAGCATGACCTTTGCAGAGCTGATTCCAATCAGTTCGTAAATCTCCTTCCAGTTTCAAAACACAACCTCATGCACACTCATTAACATGCCGTCCTCTGTCAGCCGCACAGTGTGTTTGTGGGTGAGAAAGTCCAGCAAATCTGCTCAGACGCCCTGCACGCAATCCCCACTGTGCAATTCTTCCCACAAACACACAGAGAAGGGGATACACTAGTGCTGCAGCACTGACAGATGAAAAACATGTAATTATCTTAGTTTATGTGAGGCCAAAAGGTTAAGAATGGAGGTTCCTAATTTTCTTGGATGCTCAGGTTAAGCTTGTCTGGGTAGGAATCTAGAGTAACTCATTTTTAAGTAAGGTTTTCCTGTCTACATATGTCACAAATTCGAAAGCGGATTAAAATGATTTATCTTAAAATCTTTTTAACCAATTTATCTTCCAAAATATAAGTATATTTAAGTATTCAGTATCTTAATAACTGTTAATTTCTTAATTTTTAACAGCCTTTACGACATTTAGCAGACCATTAAATACTTCTGTCCCCTCAAACCACTCAGCAGTGGATAGTATTGCTGGGTGGGACTGACAAAATGAATGTTCAGCCCTCCCTCTACATCCTTCCTCGCCCTGTACACAAAGTGGTTTTGCTCACTGCTCATGTAAAAGCTCTGTCGCCGATGCAGTCATAGCTGAACTTCATGTGGCGTTGCTTAATTGGCATTTTTTTGGTAAGCGCAGATATGCTCCACTATGCATATCTTCCTCAATGTCCTTCTCGCTTTTTGCCTTTAGAAAGTGTCCATTAATTGGCTACACAGTCACAGTCTCCTGCATTAACTATCCCCTGTGGTACCTGAATGCGGCCCATTTGACCTGGAGGCACTGAGGTGAAAGTCATGCGTTCAGCAGCCTCAACATTTGCCATGTTGCTTGTTTTTTTTTTCTTTCAAGCCTTACCACAGTCTTTGTTTTTCCCCATCCACTCTTTGGGATTTGATGTTAGCTTTGATGACCATTCTTTTCTGCGACAGTTTTAGAGTTATACTGTACAACCAATATCCAGTTTATTGGTCTTGCCGCTTCTATCAGGCACTTCTATGGACTGCTTTTCTTTCTTGCATCCTAAAAAAAAACAAAGAATGATCTCTCCTTTTGGCCTCATAGTACCAACCTATGGAGGATTTGACCATGCCTTCTCCCTGCACCCAGCCAAACCTCCAACTAGGCTGCATCAGCACTGCTCAAAGACCAAGAAGGACTGTGATCCCACCATGGGGTGTATCGCTGTGGCTGGGGCTGCGCTACACTTTAATCCCCATGTCTTTTAACCACAATGAAAAACATGTGCTTTCTCTGGGTAGGGTACTGGCCCACCATAGATGAGGCCTTTTACCTATGCTCTGAGGCTAATACCTCACAGCTTTGGTGACTCACCCTGGTTACAGGTTCTGTTATTATAAAAAAAGAATACTGAGATTTATGGTAGAAAACAAATTATTCATCAGCTCTTCACATAATGTTAAATGTAAAAAAAAAAGTGTTTGTAAGGATTTTTAAGTTTTCGCTAGATCTGATTTTGCTTATAGACCTTTATCATTAAATTATACAATGATGGCATTAAATATATGTTCTCTGACCTTTATGCTATGAGGCTTCATTAATAATGTTGACTGTCAGACCAACTGACAATCTATATATTAGTAAGGAGTTGGTATAAAATTGGCTTTCCTTAAT